GGCTGCAACCAAGCTGTCGCCTTGTTAAGGCTTGAAATACAACGTCAATAAACTTACTTGTGATTTCTTTTGCTGATATTAAAATACAGAAAACCCAGAGAATAGATCAGACCAAGAACAGCAAACACGCCGATAATGATCAACTGCACCAGAGAATATGTCAAAACTTTACGTTCTTTTCTTGTCTCGTCAACAGGAACTTTACCATCTGAATGAACACAAGATGCAGTTATATGAATATTAGGATGGCGTTCTATTGCGTTTCAAGTCCTATAGGACAGAGCCATGCATGAATTTGCGCCACCCTAAACTAATTTCATATTCATATACTCTATGACCCATATAGGCTTTCTATGTGCGTTAGTATAAAAAAAACCCCAACAAATAACGATAAAAATACTTTGTTTGGTGCATTTAAATTTACGACAGATTTCGACCGATAAAATGGCCGACAGCAGGATTTTGATTTTTGAGTAATAATATAATAATACTACTATTATTTATTATTATTTACAAATAAGTTTTAAAACGGTAGCCCTTCAGAACATCTATATTATAAGATCTGTTTTTCAAGGGGCCGTTTGGAACTCATATTTACATATATAACTAACTGATTAATAATGATTAAACCTAAAATCTCTATATATTCACAACAGATTTTAAAATTATCACACTATTGAAATATTAAAAAGTGGTCGTTTTCTCTGAGAACGACACTATAAAGCCTGGTTCACATATATGCCTGCGACGTGCCTGCGACGTACCGGCGACGATGCCGGTGGTAGCTTAAAACGTGAATTATGTGAATATTTGTTCACCGATTACCTCCAGTGCCACAGTTACATCGGCGATAGGCCGGGAAAGTTGACTTGAGTTCAACTTTGCCGGTATAGTCGGCGGCAAGTAGAGGCATAATGATACAGTCGCAGGCATACCGCAGGCATATGTGAACCAAGCTTAACTCTTTTAAAGGGCATATGACTCGAAAATTGACGGTGTTATTTTTTAGTCTAATTTGAAAGACAATTGAAAACTGTAGAATAACTTCTTTGACAGATTTTTGTTTTCTTGCTTCGTTTTGGAGATAATTCATTTTGTATGATATGCAAAGGACCAACTTTCTACGTCACACTTGCATAATGACTTAGCCCTAAAAGTTGTATATCTTTAATACGACTAAACACAATCAGTAGAAAACCTACATGGGTGTTGTTGTGGACAAATCTCGTGCTCATTATTCATTTTGAGCGAAGTTTATTTGATAGTGACAAAATTATATAACATTTTAAAGTAGTAAGTCATTATGCATGCGTGACGTAGAAAGTTGGTCCTTTGCCTATCATATAAAATGAAATATCTCCAAAACGAAGCAAAAAAACAAAAATCTGTCAAAGTAGTTACTCTATAGTTTTCAATTATCTTTCAAATTAAACTAAAAAATAACACCGTCAATTTTCGAGTCATATATATGCGCTTTAATTAAAGCTTTTCATTAAGTTACGCCAATTCTTTTAAAGCTTCTCATTAATATAACTGAGTTATAAATCTTTCCTCGTCTTTATAGCCTCCACCGCAGGCATCTCTATAGGTTTTAGCTTGCGAATGACCCGCTAGAATTTTTTTACTCGAACTACCCATTCGCAGGCTAAACCCATAGAGATGCCTGGAGAGGAGGCTACCTCGTTATATGTACCTTTCCACATTTTCTTCACTTCTGCATTATTTAACGTCAATTCGTTACTGGCAGTATCGTGACTCCCGATTTGTACAAGTTGAGCTAAACAAAAAAAAACCCAGCAACGTGCAACGCTATATACAGAGTGTATCAAAAAAGAAATGCTGTGCTGAGTGGTTATATATTACTACCTTAAAAAACAAGCTTATTTTTAAGGTAGTAATATAACCACTCAGCACAGCATTTCTACATTGGTACTACCTACACTGGTACAGACAGTTCAAGTATATGTATCAAAAAGGTAATCCAGCTTTGGCATGTTATTGTGCATTATTTATTACGTTTGCCCCATAGATGGTTTACCCATTTACTTTTTTCATTCCATTAAAGATCAGGTTGTTAGCTGTCGAATGCTATCTTTCTTGCATCATTGCGGTCAAAAATAGCCAAATAAGATCCGATTTAAAAATTTCGGTCGAAATCGCCTTTTTCCACCGTTGGGTGCTGGTGCATGTAAACTGCTATTGTCTGCGTATTAAAGCTCGAAAATTGGAGGAAACATAAATCCTAAATATGCGATTTCAACCGACCACAATCTGATCATATTTGCCAATTTGGTCATTTTTTGTCGAAATGAGTCAATGAAAGGTCTCATATGAGAACTAAAAGCCTGATCTTTACAATGCGAAAACATATTATTGACGTAAAAGAAGAAAAAGAAGGCGTTATAAATCAGTAGAACGTAACGTTGAGTGCAACAAAATGCCCAGCAATATTTTAAAGTCAAACAGCATTCGAAACACCTATATTGAAACGAAAAACACCTATATCAAAACGAAAAACACCTATATCGAAACGAAAAACACCTATACGAAACGAAAAACACCTATATCGAAACGAAAGCAAGAAGATTTCAAGGACTTTCAAGCACTTCTTTATAAATTCAACGACTTTGAAGTCCTTAAACACGTGAAATTATTGTTTCTTTTGTGTAATTTTGTACATGACAAACTATTTCACATGTTGGACATGAGAGATTTTTAAAATATGAAAAAAGGAAATATGAAAAAAGAGAAATAGCAATATATACAAAAAGTATATAAAAAAATCAAATCCAAATTAAGAAAAGCTAAGACTAGAGCCAAAGTATATAGTTCACAAGTTCTTTTGTCAATAATTATTTATGATCAAAATTCCCTTCTATCACACTGGGGAAAAATGTGAAATTCATAATATGAAATTTGCAATTGCTCCACTCTCCACAGTATATCGTATTCATACTATTTCGATATATACTATATATCATATGGAAATATACAATATATGGAGAATCAAAATCTATTCTATTTCCAATAAAGGTCCATACAATTTCCATCCTGACCATGCAATTTCAATTTTTCAAAGGTCCATACAATTTCCATTCTGACCTTATATGGATTTTCAAATTTTTTCCGGTGTCACTCACCAATGCCATCTTCCACTCTCATTTGGCTGATCGAAACAGTTCCCATCCGTTCACGATTAAAGAACTTGTGTGGGCCCTAAAAGTTAAAAAATAACGATTTCTATTTGGTAAATTCTATTTAAACTTGGTTACATGGAATTAAGGTATTTTATATCCTTATATCATGGCATTCAAGAATTAAGTTATTTTGACAATCGTAAATTCTTTAGAGAAGTACAAAGCTATACATTCTTTCAACAAATCGCTTTTCTCCTGTCGCCTCATAATTTATAACTGACTTGTAATGACTAATGTATTTTTGTGTGGGTATTTGTATATAAACACTTTAATTATTTAATCAAATATGTTTATATATAAAAAATTGAGACTCTTGGGAAAACAATAATATATAATTTACGGTAACTTACAGACAATCCTGCAAACTCTTGTTCCTCCAGCAAATCTTTGTACTCATCAGAAAACTTGTCGCTTGATAATACTAAGTCCTCTGGACGAGTTTCGTTTGAAGTCTCATTTAACATCAACGCTGCAGCCCAGATACTGTCGAATGCATAACTTGTGCGAGCTAGTGTTTGGCTATTTCTTTTACGAACTTCAGCCAAATAAGTGCTAGCATCCTGAAATACAAGAAAAATAGTTAACACAATGTTTCTTATTGGCAAGAAATCTTATATTTGGTCAATCTTTTACAACAAGTACAAATCAATCATCATAAAAGGGCTGTGTAAATTTCGTTGAAGAAAACTCACCAATCCAGAAACTGTTGTTTTGTTATCTTGCCGAATGTCAACGTTGGCAATGACCAGGAAGCCTTCAGCAGCCTTGACCACTTCACTGTGATCACAACCAAGATTCTTATGCTGTCTTGAAAATGTCTCAGGACTGAAAATCCAACCACCTGATGAGGTAGCAGCCAAAAGCCAAACATATTTTGGTCCGTACATTCCAAGTTTGTAAGCCTAAGGAAAATATTATTTTATTAATTAAAAATTTTTACAGATGGTACTATACTGTCAAATATGCTTCTTCGATTTAAAACATCGATAGTTCAGTCAATGTTGCACGGACATTCAAATGTTATATATATCAAAATCTAAGTTAGCCCTTCCTGAATACAATAAAACTTAGTGTAGGCCTAATAGCTTTTATAGTTTTTACGTTACATTAAATCGTTTATATATATATATATATATATATATATATATATATATATATATATATATATATATATATATATATATATATATATATATATATATATATGGAATTTTATTTTTATAAGTAGAAAATGTAACTGTGTATATTAATAGATTTTATAAAATAACATGTATATAACGCGTGCTCTGATTGGTCGAAAGCCGTGTTTGGATCAGGCCATCCAAACACGGAAGACTATCGTGTTGTTGTTATTTTATAAAACAATTACTTTATGGTTTCCGTGTTTGGATGGCCTGATCCAAACACTTGGGAATGTTGCTCGAGTTAAGAAAAGCGCGCAAAATCACTCGCCTTCGGCTCGTGTTTTCGCGCGCTTTTCTTAACTCTCGCAACATTCCCGCGTGTTTGGATCAGGCCATCCAAACACGGAAACCATAAAGTAATTGTATATAA